TAGTAGTAAATAAAAGGGACGATAAAAAATATCACTAATAATTCGTTTTCTCGTATCCATTCTTACCATTCTTCTTGAAATTTGACATGAAATATTGTTAGACTTTAACAAAGTGACAAACAACTTTTGTTTTATTTCAGAAACAAATGAATTAATGCCTACCTTGCGAACATTTGTTAGACTCCTTGTACTTGTATGCATTTTTTTAACTAAATTATAGTTGTACTTGAAATATGTTTATAAAACCTTTATCAAGCTGTGATGTGTATTCGTGATAAATTATGGAAGAATTGAATTTGAAGGAAGCCATTTACTTACTGTTAACGCTGGTATTAACGTTTGAAACCAGAATTGAGTTAAATCCTACTACTATTTGCATCCTCAAATAAATTGAATGACTTTTTCGGAATTATATTTAAATAAATTCAGTTATTTAAAAATTTAAAACAATAAATTCCGTAGTCATACTTCATTCCTATGTCCACGAGTTAAAAATAATTATTTATATTGAACCTAATGTACATATTACAATTACTATTTTGATCAATATTTAATATTACATAACTTGTGAATTCAAAAACAAATATGGGATAAAATGTATGTAAATTTTAAGAATTTTTATTCTGTTTAAATGTTTATATTAGCATATTAATTAATATATTCTGTCACTATGCCGGGCTGTTTGAAACCGGACTAATGGAAATACATATGAAATAAACGCCAAAAAAAGACTTGACTCTATAATGCAAAATTACGATATTTTATAGTAATTATATTATATTATAATTACATATTTATTATAATTATTATTAATTATTATATTATAATTTTTAGAATTTATTTTGTTTGTTTCAAAATTTTCAAACCGAACTAAAGTGAATCCAAATAAAATCGTCCAACAAAATGTAGAATGAAAACGACAAAATAGGGAGAAAAAGTTAATTAATAATTTCTCTTTATGCAACGAATAGATAATATATTTGAAGAAAAAAGAAATATTAATTTTAATAAAAGTCAATTTGGTTTCCAGTGCATATAAACTATTTAGAGCAAATAAGAATACGTGGCTTGAGAATGGATTGAAGGAAAAATAGAATGGGAGTGCGGGCAAAGCCGTGGACTACTTTATGGCTTTGTTGATTGTTAGTCCTTTCCCTTTGTCGCCATATTTCAGGGCGATATATTATTCCTGCTCCGCGATCTGAAATTCAATTTGTCTCTTCCACTCAATATTGGTTTATTTCTGCTAGATACTCCTTGATCCAGCCCTCTCTACCCATGGTGTATAAATATTCTTCATCAATGCGATTTATAACTGCGGCTTTTATATATACAACCCGAATCCGCACACACACAAAAGAAATAGCAAAAAAAGGGAAGATATGGGTACGGGTCGATTTCCTTTTTTTATTTGTTCTTGTATAATCATTATGTTAATGTCCTCCCCGATTCCCTTTTTGAAATGCAATTATGTATCCGTCTTCTTCCTTCCGGTCAATCGTTCCAGAAATTTGATCCGCGACGATGCCTCTTCAACTCGAACGAATAACATTATATCTATACGTACAGTATATATACATCTAACGCATTAATTATCATCCATTACGTTTCGTGATGGATGGGAATTCTGATCATACGCAATCGATCATAATTATTTGCATGGAGATTCGCGTACGACGAGAGGACAAAAAAAATACGCACACCGTATAATGCGAAAGACTCACGAGGGAGAGGAGAAAGGTCTAATAGAATGGCTCTAAAAAACATCAACACTGAATTATGTCATTGTGAAGAAATGACGCCTTTCTACATACAATTTTTTTTATAGCAAAACTAATTAATTATTTTCGATGACCTCAGGAATATAGTTTTTGTGTCCTTTTTTAATTGATTTCAACTCGTAGCAATAACTTATTATTTCTACTATTTGTTGTGGTTATATATAAGAAAAGCATTTCATTATTGAATATAAACTAATTTCGTTAAACAGCAAATAAATGGATTCGAGGGTTCTTCAAAAAGTTTAAAATGTTTTCAAAACATGTTTTTAAGCAAAATAAATATTGAATATATGTTTTCTTAAATTATTGTAATATCATTATAAAGTATTTGTTGTGTAGAAAAAATACAAAGCGGAAATCTGAATGTCTGATTCAAGTAGAATGATGCATATTAAATTTATTTTAAGCTTTGTGTTGCATTAGAATTTCCTTTTTATGTGTTCAGAAATTATTCAGTTCTAGGTTATATAAGTGGTATGAAATATTAATGTTAAGATTATATCTTTTAATACGAAATAATATTTTGTTCGTTCTAGAAAAGATACAATTGATACTTATTATATACAATGCACCTTCAAATGATCTATGTTAACATAGAATCGTTTATATTATAAATTATACAACTTTATCTGCACATTGAATCAGTTTCAGTGCTTTAATTAACGTTCCTATTATCGTAATTGGATACGTATAGCTCGACAAGTTATAATAAATTTGTCAAGAGAGATCACTGGAGATACTTTAGCAAGATTATCAATTTCTGAAACCGTGATCTACTTGTGCTAAATACGAAACAATGTATTCATTCCGTATTTTTTCATAATATTTAGCTCATGAATGTCTTAAATCTCTGAACATAAAGAAAATATATTTTGAATCAAAATTGAGACAAGTTACTACTAATTTATTTGTGGTGAAGTATGGTGAATATGTGAACTAACAGGATTTTAAGAATTTAATTGTTTTTCTTAGATCTAGGTCACATTTTATTTCTAAAATACAATTATTTAATCAAAATTGAATTTACAAAATAATTTTATTACAGTGAAAACATCGGCTGTGCGATAAAATGTAAATTATTTGCAAACAATAAACTAATAATACAAATCTGACATTCGCAGATGATATATACAGAAAATACTGCAAATATAGAGCATATAGAATATGATTGCTCATAGTTCTTTTGTATATTTTATAATTTTATCTGGAGTTTTCTATTATTTATATAAGTATTTATTAAATAATATACAGGAACCCCGACTTACGAAAACTTTCCGTTGCGTAAGTCACTTTATCATGGTTTTTACTTTTATATACAGTCGAACCTCGCTTAAGGAGTTTAATCCGTTCCAAAATTTCCGGATTTTTACTCGTATAGTGAAACATATTAAAAAATACACATGATATGATGTAGCGCAATCCGGGACTTTTTACTCATTGTCACTCGTTATGCGAAACGTCGCTCGTTAAGCGAGTCTTTTTTCTTACAAAATGCTCGTTATGTGAAGTGCTCGTTAAGCGAGGTTCCACTGTATGTTAAATTCTGTATTACTGACTGCATACATTTGAAAAAATTGATTAAAATAAACAAAACACTTATTTTCAAATAATTTTCAATGCAGACATCGCAATTATTTAATAAAAAAACGACAAAAGAAACAAAAGCAACAAAACAGATAGAACATCTTCCAAAATATTATATTTTATTAAAGAAATTATCAAATTTTGTTTGGACAGTTAATTTTTTTTAGCTCTATATATTTCCTTGTAACAAGTTAGAGCTTTGTCTGTACGTAAGTCGGGGGATACGTGTATATACATTTAACTAATCGAAAGGTTATATTTATTCATTCATATGCATCGTTCGATTACAAAGAAATGAATAAAATTATTATATTTGACTTTATTTAAATAGATCAGGTAAATCGCGATCAATTTTATATCTACTTAAAATCGATGTAAATTTGTTTTTTACAAATTTAAATTTCTTCACATATTTCTACCATTATTTATTTATTTATTTCTGCGATGATTAATTTATTAATAGATACAATCTTTTTTATCTATTAATAACATTCGGATAATATAAATCTGATGAACATTATTATTAAGAATCATCAGTTGCAAGTACTTTTCACAATCAATACTCATCTCCTATAATATATAAAGAATGCCCCTTTCTTCGAACAGATTTTATTGTACCCTAGTCACGATTCGCTCCTTTGCACGCCCCTTGAAATACTTCCTTTTCGTACGCTGACATGTCCAATTAAAACATTTCGACACTTCGTCTGCAACTTTTCCTCGCTGTTCACTTACCCCCTAATGAAAGAAAAAAACATTAGAAACTAGCGACACTTTTAAATAAGAAAGTAGTTCTATGCATATCACGTTTGAAAACGTCATTTCTATAGAATCTGAAGAAAATAATTAAAGTTAGAACTATTGATTAATTTTTCTTACACTTGTTTTTAGAAATTTAGAAAATGAAAGTAAAACAAAGGAACGCAAAGGAACGCAATCCGTGAGAGAAGCAGGAAACAGCGTCGAAGTTGGCGTCGGTGTCGGCGTTTGCGAAAGCGTAGGAGGATAGATTGCATCTAATATAATTATGTCGGGCAATAATATCCCAGTATCATAAATATCTCTCACTGAACGTTGTCTCTACTCTGGTCTGAAACTTTTTGAAAAAGTTTCCCCGTTTGCGGTGCCGACTACGAAGACATTAATACAATTTTAATAATGTTTTTGTCCGGGTTCTTCATTCTAGTTCATCTTGATTCACTCCAACTGCTATAATTTAAATTAACCGACTCCCCGCCGTCGCCCCACCAAACGCTTACTTTTTTTTGCTTTTTCTTTCACTTTCCGCCGTTCTTTCCTCTTCCTTAATTCATTTTATCTCCGCCGTCTCTAAACCCGCCCACCCCCTGATAACGATAATGAAGAGTCTTATATAATGCTGTTATTCTTCCATATTAGCACGCTGGATCTCTGGCAGAGGATCTAGTTCAGATCAGATTTTCATTACGATTCTCACTCCGTTTCACATCTTTTTCCCTTTCTCTTTTTACGCCGCTTCTTCCTTTAATTAATATTAATTAGTCCGTCGAACCTTTCTGCTTTAATTAAATAAAATTAAATCCACTCGGCTTAATTAACGAACCCGGAGGAACGAACACGGTGTGTTTGTAGTAATATTTATTTTTTCATAATAATATATAAAATTGACAATACAGAAATATACAGTAGCACAAGCACATACATATAATATTAAACATTGTAACTCGGAGAAGCGAAACATACTACTAATGTAATAATTATGTTCACGCTTCATAGTCCCAATGTGTGCACATCTCTGACAACTAATTGAAACAAGAAACATGCTAGCGGCAATACTACACATTTTTTGCTTAAATATAAAGGCCTTAATTTATATCACACGCCGGTGATGGATTCAGGAACGTCGCATACAAATAAACATTCTTTATTTCTTTATTTTCTCTCTCGATAGGTTTTCTTCTCAGTCTAGCCTCTTTAGTTTGTTTTTTTTCTTGTTGTTGCAATTTCCTTGTCTGCCATCCTCATTCATATGTAAGAGAGGAATCGGGACTCAATTATTGCTCGGAGGGAGGAAACGGACAGTTCTCCTCGTAAATCATCATTAGGGAGCTATAAGAACGCCGCTTCTTCTTTGGCTGCGTTTAAACAAAACAAATTCATTACAAGTCTATTAAGAAATACCATGTTAGAAATGGAGACGCATTGCGGCCCAAAGAACGCAACAAACAACATCCAATGAACGGACGCGATAAAATGGAAAAAGGATCCAAGGGATGGAAATAAATAATATGGATTCGGGAGGAAAGGCGAACAGAGACTACTCACTTTGCTGAGGTGGGATTGATTATCTTCTCCGCTGCTGCTAGAAGAAGTAATGCCCTCTTCCAGAGTTAATTTAGTGGAAAGTCCTTCCAGTTCCATTTCAATATACAATTGATTCAACTGATCATTGACTAATATTGGCTGCAAAAAAAAACTCCCTTACTTTCACGAAACAACATAAAAAATTATATAAAGAAACGTGTATTTTCTTCAATATTCATATTTATTACTAATTTAACACATATTTGCCTCATCATTATTTTGAATAAAAAATTTAGGTTGATTATATTTGTCAATATGTAAGTATTAAGTAATTACCTGAGGTATTTGTTTAAGAGAATTAATATCGGATTCCAATATGTCATCGACACCCTTGAGGTCCATTTGGTATCGGTATATTAGATCAGGTGTAACGGAAACGGATTCCAACCAAGGTGGGTCACGTTTTCTTAACGGGTAATGTTTGGATTTGGTCCAAGTGTTCTGGAAAGAGAAAAACGAACAAACGTTATTTGCTGCCGCCAACTTTGCTATTGCAAATTATTTTCATAAAGGAATATAACGATAAATAAAATCACTAACGTCGTCACTTTTGTTCAATCGATTTTCGTTATTCACTGAATCATCATTAGACCCGGAGTCGGTTTTCAAGAAAGAGGAATAAAAAGAGGAGCTACTCGATGCCTCGTCTCCACCCTGATTTTCCCTGTATTTATTCTCCCACGCAGTCAGATCATCTACTTTCTTCGCCTGCAAACAAGAAACATTCACAATCAAACGTTGTATTTAAATAAATAATAAACACGGCACATACACAGCATTAATTAATAATAATCAAAAACATACAATGCGCAAAACATTTTCAATTAGAAATGTAATGTAAGATAAAAAAAGCACGTAAAAAGCCGCATGCTAACGTGGCAACAATAATGACCTTAATTGTCGAATTTAAATTTTCCATTTCCGTTTCTCCATCAGGCGGACTGACCAATGGAGAACCGGGCGAACACACGGACGAAAGGCCCAAATCTTTACGTGAACATTCCGACATTGCCTAGAAAAGTATACATACAAATGTAGTTCTTTTATTCTTATTTTTATTTTGTATTCATTGATTTAATTTTGCATGAGTATAGCAGCTAGACCAAATATATATGTACCTTATTGGCAACACTCGCAGATGCGATTGATCCCATTACACTACCGGGTTCTGCTTTTACAGAAGTCATCTGAGATGCTGGCCGCTGAAATTGCGGCAAAGAACCGATAATCGGAGGACTGCTTTTGGGATCGTTGGGAATGACGCCTGAAACTTGATCCGGAGGTACCATTTGATATGTCCTGGGTATAGGGACTGAAACCATTGACAAAGGCGGGCAGAATATTGAGGACGTAGGAAATACAGAATGGTAATTATACATCATGCTCGGCACATATTGCACTGAAACAAAATAAATAAGATTTATTATACCTAGACTTATTATGTCTTGTTATAGTCTAGTGTCTGAGCAGACAGGTGTGCCGTGAGAAAAAAAAAAGATTGACAGACAATGTTGTAGTCGTTAACAATCAATAACTTACATTGTAAATTAGAATGCAAAGTAGAATCTGTGATATCGTGAGTTACTGGTCGTTGCTGCGATGGGATGTAATATACTGGGAACATCCCAGAAGCAAAATTGCCAGTATTTAGAGAGGATGTTACTCCACAAGGCTGAATGTTGTTCATCGATGTCATAGTCATAGAGAATGGGGGCCATAGGTTGATATTAGAATCATTAACCTAAAAAGATATTAATATTAAGTCTATATTGAAAAATAAAATTATTTTATTAAAAAAAGTTAAGTTTTAGAAAAAACCGTTTGAGAAGAAATGAATAAAACATATTTACTAACCCCTGTTGTAAAAGCTGAATTATTTGGGACTGCAGAAGTAGTTTGGTTAGCTACAGGTTGTACAGATGAAGTAAACTGATCAACTTGTTGAACATTGACCCCGGATTTCTGCTTGTTATATTTCAACAGTTTGTGGTTGTCACCATCCCAGGAATGAGATCCACTCCTTTTCACGCCTTGATGATAATAGCTTGACTGCAAGAATATAATTAAAATTTTGCATTGCGTTTGATATACCGAAATTTACCTGATGATCTTTCTTGTTAACGTTCTTTTCCACGCAATTCTTATGATGATTTTTCTTATTCTCCCTGTCCGCTTTAGTACTGGTCCGCTGGTCCCGATGACGCTTGACCATCATCTTTTCCATGACTTCGTTATGCCTAAATGAAAATAAAATCTTTCGTTAATTTCAAGAAATACAAACACACATAGATGACTTGTTAGATGCTGTTGGTTCACGGTTAGTTTTAATGAAATGTTCAAAACAAAAGAAAAAACAGTTTCCAAACAGAAATATAACATAAACTGTTCTTACTTAAAAAGCAGTGCCTCGGTGAGATGCGGTGGTTTATAGGAGTCATTTGAGGTGTTGGTGGCACTGGTCGTGCCACTTTCAATGTTAGGGTTACTTCCAGAGCTTAGGTTGCCGGCGCTGCCGCTTCCGGAAGCGCCGCTGTTCTGTACCGGCGACAAGCACTTCCTGCAAAGAAAACAGCTATCTTCTCTGTCCTGCTCCAACTCTTCGAAACACCAGCTCGACTGACAAAGTTTCGATACGTACTGATTGTTAGCGCAGTCCTGAGCCGCTGATAGGATTTTCGCCTCCTGATCGGTGTCTGAGGTGCTCTGCAATGGTCTGCTACCATCAGAAACTGTTGTTTTCGGCTTGCTTTGGAAAAACCTCTGAATATTATCATTATAATTCAGCTGATTGTAACTAGGCGGTGTCTCCGTCGACGATTTACTATCATAGTACTCGTGATGAGGACTTATTTCTCCCAACATCACAGAATCTCTTTCCTGAAAACAAGAATTACATTAGTAAATTTCATATATGTTTTTCTTTGTTATATTTCATACTGATATTGTTGGATCAGGATCTTGTCGTAGGTCCAAATGTAGATTGGATTTCGTAACTTCTACCATAAGCGTCTCCATGAATATCGCCAAATCCTTACAACGTTTTGACACCTCATGCTTCACTGCTTCCATTGGTCTTGATAACTCCTAAAAATGAATTAATAAATCCGAATTTCACTATCAACAATTATATCTACCTTATTCAACAAAATCATAATCTCATCTTGAATTATTTTGCTCTCTTTCAATACTTCTACAGACATTAAATGCATTTTATCTTCCTTAGGAGATTCGAATATATTCGGATTATGCGGCCCCTGCAATTTCATTTGGTTACATTTATAAATATTTATAAGTATTTTTAATAAAAACCTGTAGGACACGGTGCAATCCAATAACAAATTCTAATCTTCTTGACCAAGGATTAACAAAACTGGACCACTCGGTTTCAATCATCACAAATCCACCATTATGTACAGCAAATCTATAAGGTTTGCTTCTAAATACGGATCCGGCTATTTGGCACATTCTCATCACTAAAACAAACATGGTACAATTATAATCTCTATTTTCATAAAATATTCTAAAAAAAAATACCAGATTCGTAAACTTCTTTCAGGAAAGGCATATCTTCAGGATGGTAAAAATCGAAAACCGATTTTCCCAACATATCTTGTGGAAGGTAACCAAAATTTGTAACGACATCAGAATCCACATGGCTAAAAACGCATGCAGCAGTATGCCTCATTCCAAATTTAGCAGTTTTTCTGGTTTCGTCCGGTGCTAAAATAAATTTCAATTAATTAAATATACAATTGAAAAAAATGTTTATAGTTTACTTTTGTAAGTCGTAAACATCGGAACAGCGACAATGACTAGAAACATTCCGGAATTCTTGTTGGTTATTTTCGCTTCAGATTTATCGCTGATGTTACGAAATGTTATGGTGAGTTGAAAAGCTTCATAGGATACTACTTTTTCTACAACACTGTAACCTCTTTTCTTCAATCCCCGATACTTCCTTAAGCAAACATAAAGAGTATTTTGTACATCTGAAAATATAATAATAAATACAACTATGATACATTTAATTTGATGGAATAATACCTTTAGTTTTAGCATCATCAACCAATGGTAATGATATCCGTGTGGCTATTTGATTGGAGAATGTTTCCCGATCTTTCGGGTGCACAAAATCTATAAACGATCTTCCCAGCCACATATCTTTAGGGAATCCCAGTATAGAAGTAAGATTCGGCGTTGTATACAAAACAACACCATCATACATTGATATTACGCAACAAAAACCATCCTAAAAAGGAAATTGATATTAATTATCATATATTTTTTTCTTTGAATAACAAAACTAACCTCTGGTTGATTTGGAAGTTTAGGGTCACAATCCATTGGTGATTCGCAATTAATGGAAGCAAGTTCCTTTTTATTTTCATCGTGATTTTGTATGTTTCCTGTTATATTTTCAGCAACATTCCAATCTGATTCGTCCGAATGACCCAACGCTGTTTTTGCTACAAAGAAGCAAATAAAATATGTCATTTATATTGTTTAAACTTTGCTTGCTATAAATCTTATATACCTGGTATTGAATTATTTTCAGTTGGATTTTCGATACCAATGTCCTTGGTAATATCCTGACCATCATCTTTAGTTGCAGTGGGATCTATCAAAACTATTGTTAAAGGCTCACAAGAATCCGTTAAACATTTATTATTTTCTAATGAATTTTCTTTCGGTACGGCTCTATTTTCCGTCGTTGCAGTCGCCGTAGGAAGTAAAATATTTGGAGCTGAGGAACAAGTAGACTTTAGTTTTTTCTTTTTGTAATCCTTATCCTTGTTCCTTTTGTTATTATGAACTGGCCCGGCATTAGTACTGAAAAATTAATGTTTTAAAGACACATCGATACTAGCTTGAGTATAATTTTCTTACCTCCCATCAGCAGTTGGAGCTCCACAGTATCCACTACTTCTACTGGAATTACTTCCACTGTGACGAGATTTAGAACTCGCGCTACAAATTATTAAGTTGAGAAAAGAAAGATACAAGAAAAAAAAATAAATATAATACCTTCTTTGTGAATTACTGTTACTGCAGCTATTAGAATATCCAGAATCGGATATTTTTGTATTCGTCTTTCCTGACTCAGACTCCATGTGGACACGTATATTCTAGAAAATTTATTTCTATTTAATAACATTTATTGTTAATTGTATCAAAAGATTTTATATAACAGATTTATTTATACTTTTTAAATAAATATTATTATATTAATTTATTCAAGATGTCGTCATTATAAATAAATGTTATTGTTACATTATATATTAGATATATAGGTAATATTGTATATAATTGCAATCTAATAATGACGTTGAATCGAAATAATCCATGAAAATAGTATACAAATTTTGCATTGATTAATAATTAAAATTTTTATAATTGATATTATATTTTTGGTAAAAAATAAATAAAAAATCTATATTATTAAAAATACGATAAATAACATATAGTATTTTGTGTTACTTCGGGTTAATTAATTAGTCAAATATCCTAAAATTGTTAATGTGCGTGATCAGTTATATGCAATATAATATAACACGTGTGGATTAATTCCTCAGACAGATCACGTTCCCAAACATGAGAAATATATACTTGCACGCTGCACAGCATACATGCAACAGTATAATTCATAGATATCTATTTAATTTATAAACCGCATAACCTTTAGCATTACATAAGTATGGAAATTTTTCAATCATTAGTGATTCCATTTCCTTGTTCTATTACTATTACTCCAATAATTACCTTCAAGCTTCTTCATTTTTATCGATTACTTATTCATACTTTCTGTTTATTCATATTAAATGTTACAAACAGCTATATTTGATAAATGAATAATTAATATTTATTGCAACAATAAAAAAATATAAAAAGTTAACTGCTGCTAGGCACTATTGGCCATAGGTCATTTAGACAAATTATTAATTTAATTACTCTATAATAAAAATGTTAATATATTTAATTCAAATCACTATTATAAGAAATGTAAGAAATAAAATCAAATCCGAAGGTACTCAATACCAAATATTTAATATTTGATTTCCTGAAATCATGAAAAATTTAAATAATTTTTATTTATTATATAAGGCCCTAAACATCATACCATAAAGTTCTTTAATACTTTCTATTTTAGGAAACTTTGTAACCACAATAATAAGAAGATTACTAATCAACTGAACTAAAGTTTGTGTTTTCTGGTATTAAAAAATCTAAATAATATAAAAATATTAGTTTTATTATTTTAACTATTCATTGGTCAAACCTTGACCAAAGGGCTATCGACCGATGTCTTTGTGCCTTGACAGTTTTAGTTTTATTTGTTTATGTGTTATAGTATTTTTATGTACATGTAGTATATGCTATTTTATTATTAGATCATAATTTGGATACTTATACCATTGCATATAACTAAACTAACTCCTAAAACTAATTAGATCAGCGTTTTCCAAACTGTGAGGTGCGCCTAGTCTAAGGGGAAGCGCGAATATTAGTCACAGTGAGCAATTTTCCAAATGACTGCTAAAGTTTTATCTATTTTCTGAAATGGAGGGGGAGGGGAGGCGCCAAATGATTAAATATTTTTAAAGGAGGCGTAGCAACATCAAGTTTGGAAACAACTGAATTAGACTAATATATTTCTGAAGTAATGATCAAAAGCTGAAACTGCGTTTAACAGTAGCGTCTATAAATATTGCTGGCACGGTTACATCAACGTGCAAAATAATAAACAGCTATTGTAATGCAATTTTAAAGGTCATTTCCAAACAATACCAATTTTATATTAAAACAATCAGCAGATTTAACAGAATGTTATATATAGATTTCATATAGCACGTTTCCCTTCTTTTTAGAAAACTAAAACATTGTTGGTATGAAAAGCAGATGATTGAAATATGGCAGTTGATAAAATACTTTTTATTCGGAGACATTCAAATGTTATTAAATTTTGCACAAAAAAAAATCACAAATATATATATATATTGGAAATATATGTGATCACAAAGAACACTAAGATGCAACTATAATGACTACTATCACCAGGGAATCAAGGACTTATCTTCTTCTCGTCAGTCGTTATGCAAAACGTCGCTCGTTATCAAGTCATTTTTGTTACACTTTATTTTGCTCATTAAACGAAATGCTCTTTAAGAGAGGTTCCACTGTATAAGCAAATGCATGTATCTCGTAAAAAAATAAGCCCAAATAAAAAGAAGAATCAGGAGATGCGGCATATGCAACAGCACATTTAAATAAAAAAAATGACAGGTCGTCAATAAAATACTCTCACACTTTTCACCCCCGGCATGTTGATCAACGTGTTTCTTTCACCACTCCACAAAATTTCTGCTATTTTTAGTTTCAGTGGAATTTTTCTTTTTAAAGGTTATTAACAAAAATGCTCACACATGTGACATTGATAACAATGTAATGTTTCCACGAGAACAGCACATGTATTTAGTTCCAAGCGCAAGTTGGATAGAGGTCGAACCCATATTCATAACTTGATTGATTTTACATTGTACTAGTTTCGCACATTCTATATTTGGATCACACTGTTTAAGTAATTACGCAATATATAAAATAGATTTTAATTTTATACTAAAGGAATTTTTATTTGTTTTGTTTCACTTTCAAGAGAAGAAAATGCGCTGAGTAAAACGAACTGCTATAAATGCGTTCAAGAAAGCAACATTTTCCATGCTCAAAACCGCACATAATTACACTTAAATGTTAAATATAAAGTTATTTCTGATTACAAAAGTCATTTTTGAAAAAAAAAAAACGTTCGATTATGGTCATAACTTTAAAGTTTATCATTTAATCAATTATGCACTATTTCAAACATATTTAAGTATTTCTTTCCTACCAATATACATTGCCGAGAATATTACATTTAAATATGTCAAATCTTAATATATTCAAAAATCGTAAATCCAATCATTTCAATAGATCTATTTCGATATCTCTATAAAGCTAGTCATATATTTGAAACAGGGTTCAATAAATAGTTAATAGAAGTCAACCTATGAAAAATAAGATAAAGGATGTCCCAATATTAACGCAAGATTTGAATTAAATAGAAAACACAGTTTTTATTCTTTAGAATTAGATTTTTTTATTGAGTCATAAACAGTGTTTTCTATTTAATTCAAATCTTGCGTTAATTTTGGGACACCCTTTACAACGACAATAGAAAATATTCAGATATGCAAATAAATTAATAAAAAGTAACTATATGTATCTATGAACCATTTAACAAATATCATCATCTCCAGAATCCAAATCCATCCATTAACCTTCGCGAATTTAAGTTATAATTATTTAGAATAAGAAAATTACATAAATGTATATACAGTAAAACCTATTTTTGTGCGATCCTTTTTTATGCGATTTTTTTTATGCGTTATATGAATTCAAAAGGCGTTTTATAATGTTTTTTCAAAATTTCTTCATATGTACAATGAGAAATTAAATATTTTAAAATGTTTCCACGTGCAATTTAATTATTTATTTTGTTTGGATGCACTTTCTCGTGCATTTTGTAAATCTTTGACGTATTTTCTAAGTGCGTTCAATGCAATCGAGGTCAATGCAGTATATTTTTTTTACATAACACGCGTAATATATGCCATACAATTTGCATTCAATTGCACAACTGCATTGTATCCGGAAATAAATATTACTACCTGCTCTCGTGCATTCATGTAATCAAGCTTATTGCGTAACGTTGACATTCCGATTTTTATTATTGAATATTTTAACAATAAAAATGTTAGGTAACTTCTTATAAATCTATATCGGTTAAAGGTGATCGGATAATATGAGGACAAATTCAATGGAGATTTATTTCATATTTAGTAATAAACTTCTTATAAAGTTAAATTGAATACACACTCTCTTAGGGTTGAAAAACCTAAAGTCAATAGCAATAGTTGATATTTTTTAATTTTTTTTGTGATTATATAAATATGTTATTTTATGAGTGTTGGACTGTTTCTATAAATATTATAATAATAATTACAACAATTAAACATAACACATAGAGATACAAAGAAATATAGGATTTACGTAAATATTATTTATTAAATATATACAAATTATTTAAATTTAAAATTTAAAGTATTATTATTTTATAATGGTAGAACGAATAAATAATTATAATAATAAATTATTATAAAAATGTTAACTTAATTTGAATGTAATATTAAAACAATTGAATATAAAAAACATTGAAATATATTGTTGGTTTTGCATTAATGACTTACCAGTAGATATACTATCGTATAAATAATGTTGAAGATTCAGACAGAGTTTCTTATGTTTAGTCAGAATTAATGACCGATGCACAAAACTTCCCTATTTGAAACGCCGGCGTGGACTAAATCGCTTCCAGCAAGTGAAAGTGGAAGTTCGTTCGCGAAACGATTATCCTCTGCACTCGAAGCTGGAACCGTATAAAAATAAAAGGAGACAGACATATGGCTATTTCAAGTTCAAGACAAGGACGAGCCTATCACAATTGGCGCACCAGTTCGTAACTCGCGCTGGTTACGTTGCGATCACGCTCTTTGCAACGTGAGCTGCCCCCTGAAAGGGTCTCACTCTCCTTTATACATCTACCTCTATACCCTCACAACTCTTGTTTATATATGTACATGCACAAATACTCACTGCCCGATGTTATTTGTGATTCTGGAATTATTTATGGAATACAGGCCATTGCTTCGACCTTCGTTTCTGGAAAATATTACAAGTATTCCGTAAATCTTATTTACATCTTCAAATCAATCTCCCGCAAAGTCAGAATCCCATCGGAAAAATGCATTACATCATCATCTTTTTCAAGCAGAACAAATGTCTATAATTACATATGAAAACAAAATAATATCATCGTTTTACAGGTAATCAATTATAAGGAACTCATCAACTAAATATAATATTCTGGTTTTGAAAGACACATCTAAAAATATATTAATAACAAAACGGTTTTGTAATGTTTATGTACATTTATTAGGATCGATGAAATCAAATACAGATGACTTTTTAAAAGCATATCTGCTCTTGCATTATTTATATTTAGCATATAATTTACATGTACAAATAGTGTGTTTTAACCTATTAGACTACACTTTAATTTAATCATGGTCCAAATGAGTCATCAATTCATTGAAAAAAATGCGTAAACTGGATCTATGGCAGTTAATAAAGTTAAGTAAGTTATGATATTTGCAAAAAAAAAACCTTGTTGATGACAAAGGATGGACAAAATGTGACTATTACCGTGGATCCAGAGAAAATGAATAATATAATAGGGCATATTCGTTCTTTCAAGTAGGGAAGGAAAAGACGGAAAAACTAACTATATTTCATATTTAAATATATGTGATAGCGAGAAGGATCCAAGAATATAGATCCAAAGACTTCAGTAATGATTCGGGATCTATTGGTAGATATATTTGCGTCTATTGTTTAAGAAAAGGTAAGAGTAGATGAAAGTATAAATAGCTAATAAAAAAAATTGTAAAATGCATAAACAAAATCTGAGAGAAGTAGAAATTGCGAACCTTTTCGTAAGACTACCCAACATTGACTAGTATTAAACATAAATAATTCACTAGAAATTCACTCATAATGCGGATTATCTATAACGCAGCATTCTTTTTCATCAAAACTAAGGCTTCTAAATAACATATTATTTTTCGTATATGTAGCAGTAGAATGTTATATAATGGTGTGGCGCTTACTTCAGCCCGGATATGACGTCACGTACCAACCCGGTACGGTACGTCCTACTCCAGCCCGTAGCGGATATACCTGGAAGAGCAGATAAGGATGATACCCGCTGAGGGTATATAAGCAGCCGGATATCTATAATCGCTATCTTGTGTCACGCCGCGTTAGCCAGTAAGGTTCTCGGTATCATGTCTTGTAAGTACCCTTTAGTATTCTGTATCTGTACCGTTACTTATCCGAATAAACATACTTGTAAACTTCTCCAAATTGGTGACCCCGACTTGATCGAATTCTAAAACGAAATGGAGAACAAACAAGGAGACCAACCCGCCTTCCATGGCCCGCGTTTTATACCATGGAACACAAAATTGTTGTTTACCATGATGAAATCCTGCTTCGAAACCGCTAGAATCACCGCGGATTCGGATAAATATTCATACGCGATTAGCAGCTTAGACGTGGAAAGTATACGCGAAGTGGAGGACGTATTAGGAAATCCACCAGAAGTGGGTAAATACGTAAATGTGAAAAACGCATTGATCGAACGAACATGCAAGTCACAGGAGCAGAAGACACGGCAATTACTCCATCGTGAGGAGATGAGCTGGAACAACTGTACCAGAAGACTTCATCAAGGCGCTCTGGAAGGAGCAGTTACCGTCTAATGTACGCACCATTTTAGCCGCACTAGAGCCCATCGGATTGGACCAGGCTGCAAAAAAAGCAGATGCGATTGTTGCACAAGAGGCGCAACCGCAGAAACAGTTGGAAGAAACATCGTCCGCAGCGGATAGGTCCATGACGTTAGAAGTGTCGAAATTATTCAACAACCTCACAACCAGACTAGATGCGATTGAAGCTGCGTGTAAACCAGAGCTAGCGGTAATGAGAAGACGACCTGAGGAGCGTAGCTTTCGTCACGTCACAGTCACGTCTACGAAGTGTAGTTAGAAATTCGTCGGGTGATGTGTGCCGGTACCACCAGCTTCCACGAGGGAAACGACGACGGTTGTCAGTAGCGGCTAACGCCGACCACAAACATCTCTCACGCCGCTTATTCGTGACGGACAAGAACATGAATGTACGATTTCTAATAGACACGGGTGATGATGTGTGCGTGTACCCTCGTTCTTTTATACGGCGCCACAGAGATAAATCTAAATACGAACTTGCGGCGGCTAACAGCTCAACAATCGCGACATACGGGACAGTGCCATTAGTGCTGAATTTAGGACTGCGCCGAGATTTCACGTAGAATTTCGTGGTCGCAGATGTGAGTAAACCCATAATCGGCGCGGAGCCATAATCGACGACCAACCGCACCATCCGAGGAGGTACAATGATGGGAAACACGGTAAGCATCAAAACCGTCAATGGATCGTCTCCATACCATCAGTTATTAACGAAGTTTCCTGAAATAACTCGTCCTGATGGAACACCGGGGGAATCAAGACATGCTATCAGACATTTCATTAACACAACTTCAGGTCCACCAGCCTTCAGCAGACCAAGACGTTTAGCCCCTGACAAATTAAGACGTGCAAAGGCAGAATTCGCGACGTTGATGAGCCTAGGCGAGGCGCTCAGAGAGTCCGTGGGCGGCCCCGCTCCACATGGTGCCAAAGAGTGGAGACCGTGCGGC